TGAACACTGAAGGGGAAGAAACAGGTTGAGGGGAGAAAATCAACAGCAGGGAACACCCAGCACCACCCCTTTGCCTCTTTCCCAGGGGTACTGCCAAGGGGTAGCCTAGGCCAGAGTTGGCTGTGCCACATGCTTTTGTGATGAGGCCCACTGTGGTCAAAGTCAGCTGGCCAAGAGCAAGGTATGTGGCCTTCAGGAGAGCTGAAGGCACTGAGCCACAGCCCCACAGGGTGTCATGAAAATCCCGTCTCTAGCAAATGGCAATCCCGAAATTGCTAATGAGCCAGGAGAGGGCGTGGTCCCCTTTCTGTGGTTCAAAATACTTGGTCCCTAGCCTGTGGCCCTGAGGCCAAGAGAGAAGTCTCAGATCTGGGAGTGAGGGAGCCTGGGTACCAGGGAAATTTTCCCAGTGTCACTGATGGCCTTTATTTGATCATTGGCTAGCCCCTCTTGGCTTCTCCATCCATACAGAGATGGACAGGGAGAGCTTCTCAAGAAAGTTCTTCCCTACATTAGGCCCTGCGTTCTGTACTGAAAATGAGTAGGGGGCCGTCCCAGGGAGGCCAGGGCTGGGGCTGGGCATGTAGGGGGGAATGTGTCTGGCTTAGTGGCACAGCCCTCCTTGCTTCCTCCACCCTCCCCTGGGCTTTTCAGCCCCACACCTCGTACCCACTATGCTCTTGGCCTCTCCTGCCCCCTCAGGAGCCTCAGGCCTTGGTCGGTGCCCCTCACTCTTATATTGTCAATGGATGCCTGTCAGCTGTCGACTCCTGGGACCATCTCAAAAGCACTTTTAGCCCAAGAAACAAAGCCAAGAGCAAGAGGCCCACCCTCAAGCCCATCTCCCTCCAGCCTTCGCACATGCACTGTCCCTCTTCCCACTGGCCACCCCGTTGTCACCTGCCTCCAACGCCTCCCCCCGCCTCCCCCATCTCCTCCACTGCCCGGATGCTTTCTCTCCCAGGTCCTAGGCCACCTGTCACCACACCCCTCCTCCTGGGCCCAGCAGCGGCTGCCCCTCCCCTGCCTGGTTTCTGTCCTGCCATTTTTGGTGTGGCTATCACAGCTGCCTCTGGGGACAGCAATCCCTCAGCCCAGCACTGAAGTGGGGAACTTCTGGCTGGGCCCCAGGGCCCTCTCTTTTCTGACTGCTCACTTTCTCCCTGGCTGATGTCACACTCTTCCTCCCCTACTCCTCCAAGGCCTTGGGGGGCCACCCTCGTGCTGGGGCCTCCCAGGTCAGAGGTCACCTGCAGCCCTGTGCATGTCCTAAGCCCTGGAACCATACTGGGAGCTTATTTGGAAACAGGGACGTTGCGGATGTGATCAAGTTAAGGATCTTGACACGGGGAGATGATTCTGGAGTATCTGGGCAGGTGTCCTCATGAGAGGGAGGCAGACACAGAGCAGAAAGCTGTGTGAAGACAGAGGCAGAGACTGGAGTGGCAGCCACAAGCCAAGGGATGACTGGAGCCACCAGAGGCTGGGAGAGACAGGAAGGGGAGCCTCCCCTAGAGTTTTTGGAGGAAGCACGGCCCTGCCGACACCTTGATTTTGGATTTGTGGCCTCCAGAGCTGGGAGGGAATCGATCTCTGTTCGAAGCCACCCGCTTGTGGTCCTTTGTTACAGCATCCTGGGGAAATTCATACCAGTCCCTAACCTGGCCCCTGAGGAGACCCGCTCCCTGCACACGCCTGCCTGCAGCACCCTCCCTCTGGTCGTCTCGGGTGCTCGGCCTCGGTGGACTGTACCCCAGAGGTTCTGGACAGCTAAGGCTGCCTCTCTCATTCTCAGGAGCGTTCACACCTGGCCACAGATGGGTGGCCTTGTGAGCACAAGCCCTCCTGCCGGCCCTGCCCCAGCCTCTGGGGCTAGCTCAGCCCCCGGGCGCCCCCCCCCCCCGCCCTGGCGGCCTGTGTGCAGCAGCCTCTGGGCCCCGCGGTGCCAGGGCGGCCCTGGGCTCTCTAGGGCTGCAGTGGCTCCAAGCCACCCTGGCGACGGCACCCTGCCCCGCGTGCCCAGAGGGGAAGTGGCCGGAGCCTACGGGGATGGGGCCTGGAGACCACAGGGGGGAGCAGAAGTGAGTGAACACCGCCCCCCAGGTTCTCAAACCAGCCCCTCCAGCCGCCCGTTCAGGCCCTTCAAGGAGGGGGTTGTCCTTCTGAGGTGCCCCACCCCCGTCCCCAGCCGTGGTCTACGGACGGATGCCTGGCTGGCTGCCCCTTCAACAAGCCCTAACTTGTCTAAAACCAAGCAGTGGGTTCGGCTTAGGCTCCAGCTGGGCCCCACCACATCCAGAAGGCACCTGACCTGCGGTAAGTACTTGGAAATGTCCCTCACCCCAGCCCCCTGTCACTGGGTCCACCGCTTGGCAGCCACTTCTTTCACAAGACAGCCCTCCCTGAGAGAGCCGCTCCCGGGACTTTCATTGCCCCGTGTGTACATGTGCAAGTGTGTGTGTGCGTGCACGCGTGTACTCACGTGTGCCTGCCTCGGCTCACTCCCGGGCTTGGGCTTTTCCTCTGAGCTGCACCCCCACCCCCACGGTGCCTGGGGTGCTCTCCCCCTACAGGTTGTGTTCCTTGCGGCCCCTTCCTCTTTCTCCAGGGGCCTCAGACATGGGGGGTCCCACACTCCCACACTTCCATCCTGCCCACCCCCTTCCTGTGGACCCACGTTCAATCTGTCCCCAAGTCCAGGGCTGGAACCCGGCCCCTCCTTCCATCTTTCCTGCTGCTTTTCCGGCGTGGCTGAGGCTTTCTACCCCGGTGCCTCCGAGCCCGGGCAGGCGCTCCCAGCTCAGGGTGCACCACCGCAGCCCTCTGCAGCTTTGCCACCTGGGGCGCCCTGTGACCTCAGCCAGGCGCGAAGCTTCATGAGGAGGGCACTCTGCATGGCCTAACAGTGCATGGGGGCTGGCAGCTGGTGGCTGGCACGGATGGCCTTTGATGTTGCCATGGCTTTGAGTTTTTTTTTTTCTAAATATTTTTAATTATTTCTGAGAGAGAGAGAGAGAGAGAGAGAGAGAGACAGCATGATCAGGGGAGGATCAGAGAGAGAGGGAGACACAGAATCCGAAACAGGCTCCAGGCTTTGAGATAGCTGTCAGCAGAGAGCCCAATGCGGGGCTCAAACCCACGAACCGTGAGATCATGACCTGAGCTGAAGTCGGAGGCTTAACCGACTGAGCCACACAGGTGCCCCTTGAGTTTTAAGTCCAGTCAGTCCCAGCTTTTGTATGATTATCGTCATCCTCCTCCTCCAATAGTTTGCAGCACACTGGACAGCAAGCTCTCATGGGGTGACGTTCCATCACAGGGCCACCACGCTGAGCGGCGCCTCCCATCCCCCAAACTGGAAACTTGGGGACACCGGGCACCCTGGGGCCAGGTCAGGCAGAAGGGCACGCAGCTCTGTGCTCAGAGCCGGCACCTGGTGCCCCTGGGCCCTCTCTCTCCTGGGCTGGCATTCCTCACGGGTCCTGCGTGCTCCGTTTTCATCAGCGGCTTGTGGCTGCCCCCGGGCTCCCACCGCTTCAGCCCTCGTGCAGGACGAATGAAAAGGAGCCGGTCTCTAAGCCTGAAACCGCCTCGGTCTTCTGGGCTTGCCGTCTGAGGGCACATTGCTCCAGGGACTGCCCCTCTCATGCTGCCCTTTCTGGGGCTGTCCTGTATCCCCAGCAAGTAGGTTTCTCAGGCCATGTTCTGGACCTTTCTTGGGAGCCAGGGACAGAATATGGCAACCTGGGCTTGACTCTGCTGGCACACAGTGTATCTGTCCAGAGTCCAGACCAGGCCAGCACAGGTAGCCTCACACAGCTTGCTGCCCTGTCCCCAGGAGGCCCGTCCTGCGTGAGAGTGCGCCCCCTGGTGCCAACTGGGGTGCCGCACACAGCTCTGACAGCAGCCGGGCTCTGACCTCCTTCTGAGCCCCCAAATCTCATTAGGACAGGCGCGCAGGGCCCCTAGGGCTTCCAAGCCCCCCTCTCAGAATAAGGGTCTGGTGCTCTCCAGCTGGCAGGTGCACCCTCAGCCAAAGCTGCATTAGGAACCTAGTAGAGCAGCTGGGGCAATGGAGGAGCCTAGACAGAAGTGGAAAGAGCCTTTCCAGTCTCAGACCTGGAGGTACTGAGGACTCTTCCCTGAGCGCAAGGCTCAGAATGGACATGAACAGGCTGAGCCTGGGAGCCAGCCTCAGTGGCCCATCTTTTCTTTTTTTTAAATTTTTAAATGTTTTATTTAGTTTTGAGAGAGAGAGAGAGAGAGAGAGCAAGCAGGTAAGGGGCAGAGAGAGAGGGAGACACAGAATCCGAAGCAGGCTCCAGGCTCTGAGCTGTCAGCACAGAGCCCGACACGGCGGTCGAACACACGAACCGTGAGATCATGACCTGAGCCGAAGTCCGATGCTTAACCAACTGAACCTCCCAGGCATCCCAGCCGCAGCGGCCCGTCTTGGCTCCCCTTGTCTGCTCAGTCCCCAGTGCCACCCGAGAGCGGCGGCGCACACAGCCATAGTGCACAGTGTTTCTTTAATGGAAAGACAACCATGGACCTCAGAAGCAGCTCCTCTTCAAGCTGGGTGTGATTGCTCGAAATCCCCACCATTCCAGGGGCCAGAAGGTGAAGGGAGGGGAGAACTAGCCATCGTGGGGGGCGGGGAAGGCCAAGGAAAATTGGCTGCTGACTCCAGCGGGATGCTGGGCCCTTTCACCTCCACATGCTGGCCTCCACCAGGACTGTCCAGACTTGGGGGTGGTGTAGAGCCTGGGCAGGGCAGGCTTGGGGGCAGCTGCCCTCTGCCCCCTGGTTTGCCTAGGTAGGGGCTGGGCAGAAGCCCAGCGAGACAGACCCCAGACCCAGCTCAGTGATGTCAGTGAGGACAGGGAGGATGAGACAGACAGATGGAGACAGAGCGAGGGACAGAGAGACAGAGGAACAGACAGGAAGATACTGGTCTAGAGACCGGTAGAGCAAGGAGGCTCGGACAGATGGGCCATGAACTTGTAGAAGGGTGGGGGAAGCATGGAAAGCCAAGGGTAGCAGGCCAGGCTAAGGAGGGTTGGAAGTTGGAAGGAGATGAGAAGAAGGAAGGTGTGCCAGGCAGGTGGGGTGGGCTGTCTCCATCCCTGTTAGCCCCTTCCCACCCCCAGACCCAGGGACTGTCTTCCTTGGACCGGAGCCTTGGGCGATTTGATCTCAGGGTGAATGGGAAGAAAGCTTTATGAGGGTGCCTCTGAGTGGCTATGAGGTGGGGGACAGGGGCAGCTCTGAAGCCAAGACGCTTGTGACGGTGGCTGGGTCTTGTGCCCCATCCGCACGCTTGGGAGCCAGGATGAGGGCGTCAGGAGGCAGCGAGTAGGGGTCCGGGATCAAGGGCGGGGCTGGGTTGGGTGCAGCTGGGCACTGGCTTCTCTCCCTCGCTCTGCCCTTCCCTTCAGGATGTCTGCTGTGCTCCCCAGAGACCCCGCCCAGGCCACCACAGTGGCTGCCGCTGCCTCTACTTTTTGTAGTTGCCAAACTGGATGGCCAGGCGGTCAGTGACGCAGCGGAAAGTGGCTGGCTGCACCTCCCAGTAGGGCACAGGGTTGTTGAAGAGGCTGATGCCGTTGTAGTACGCCCGCTTCACCCCGAAGCCCACAGGGCAGAAGTCGTTGACGCCCACCTTGGTGATGTTGTTGGTGTGCAGATAGACCACCTGAAGGCAGAGGGATGTGGCTCAGGCTCAATGCCAGTGGCCCAGTCACCCCGGACTGCCCTCCGACTCTGTTCCGGCCTGGGTGGGCCAAGTAGAGGGCAGACAACAGACGGCTTGGGCCCTGTCTCCGGGCTGGGTCCTGCCTGGACACCTCATGATTGTGGTTTCATTGCAGTGCCTGCCCTTTGAGGTCCAGGATGTGATTCTTCCATTGTTGGGAAGAGCAAAGTGAGGCTTGGGTATGGTGGTCACATGGGTGTTGGATGGGATTAAGGTGCTGGTATGTGACCAAGGGGCCAGGATGAAGGGCCCAGATGTGGTACGTGGTGGGTGGGAAGTGAGGGGCATGTGAGGGTCAAGGGATGGGACGTGGGTATCGATGAAGGAAAGATGGCACCTTGGGCTCACAGACGGTCCCTGGCCCTCCCTCTGGGCTCCCCAGGCTCCGTGCCTGCCCCTGGGCAGCAGCCTTTCACTCCAGACACCCATGGATATGAGAGGAGAAAGAGCCTGCAGAGGACCTTCTCTTCCATCCAGTCCCCAGGAGTACTTGCTCTTTAGCAGCTCTCAACTTCCTGAAGTCCCTCTCTGGGGAGGGGCAGAGGGAACAGGAGGGAGAGTGGGTAAGGAACCTCATGACGGTGGGGAGGTGCTCAGGCTGCAGCAGCGCCCTCTAGAGGCAGGGAGGACACGGACCGCTAGAGGGCGCGCTTAGCCGGGCATGGGCCTCGCTGTGGCAGCTTCCGGGCTGCTCCGCCCTCCCCCGCCCTCACCGGATGCAGGGCTTGTCTGGACTTTGCTCTGGCTGGACGGCCTGTTGGAAAGGCAGGTCTCTTGGCTAGTGATTGGGGCCGCGGAAGAGACTGGAAGCCAAGCCAGGGACAGGGTCCCTGAAAGAACCCCAGGCAAGACCCTGCACCCCATCGTCAGCCTACTTCTGCCATGAGCTGGACCTGTCTTGCCGCAAATCTGTGCACCTCCAGTGCCCAGACTGTTCCCTGACCTCCCAGGCTCTGCCAGGCCTTTCTGGTGTCCCGCCCACCTCGGTGAAGTGCCGCAATAGCTACCAGGCCGACTCCTGCTCATCCCTCACACCCTCTCTCCACCCATGACCCAGTGGAGCTGTCCCCAGGCGGAGTCCCTGCTTGCATTCCCTACTTCCTCAGCACAAATCATTGGCACTGAGGGAGGGATCCTTGTGACGGCTTCTTTCCAGATGCGGAGGCAGAAGCAGAGAGAGCAGGAGTAGCTGCCCAGACCACACAGCTGGCCAGCCGCACAGCACGGTCCTGTTCCGCTCTGTTTTACAGAACCTGGCATGGGGGCTCCCTTCAGCTCTCACCTGGAGGAGCTTGAGGTCCGGAAGGCCAGAAGGCACCCTGGACAGCTTGTTATTGTCCAAGTGCAGCTCCCGCAGGGTGGGCAGAAAACTTAGGCTCCCGTTCTCGATCATGCGGATCTGGTTGTGGCCCAGGCCCAGCCTGCGAAGGGCAGATGAAATGTACCGAGACACTAGAGGAGAAAAGAGCTGCAGGGCAGGGTACCCGATGTGGACCCTCAGCCCACCTGTACAGCTTGGAGTAGCGGAGCAGATCCTCCAGCTCGATGGCCTGGATTTTGTTGTGGTCCAGATGGAGTTCATTCAGGGTCTCGGGGAGGTCTGCCAGGAAAAGAGGGTGCTCTGAGTTGAATGCAGGAGGGGAGGCCATGTGTGCGGGCTGGGTTTGTAGGTGTGTGGGAGGTAAGATGGGAAGAGAGGGCTACCAAAGCCCTCCCTGAGTTGACTGGTGGCTCCAGATGTCTCCAGATCTCCCCATCTGTGCCCATCTGTGCCCTGGAGGCTGGACAGCATGGGGGAAAAGGTCTGCCTTCCTACCTTTGGGGATGCCGGTGAGCTTGGCCTCAGAGATGCGCAGGTAGTTGAGCTTCAGGCCATCGAAGGCTCCAGGCTCAAAGCCACTGTTCTCCAGGGGGTTCCCGCCCATCTCTAGGAGAGAAGCCCCCACGTCAGCCCTGGCGCCAGAGCTGGGTGGCTGCCCGCACAGTCCCAGGTCCTGGCTTGGGCTGGCCTGATGGGCCCTGCTTCCCCATCTAGCCCTGAAAGCAGCTCCACTAATTTACGGGGTTAATTGCAAACTCCTGGATGTTCAAGACCATTAGCTCCCAAGGGTATTGGCCCAGGCATTGACCTCAGGGGTTAAGTGGAGCAGGAGGAAAAGGAGGGGAGCCAGAGATCAAGGTGCCTGCTCAGCTTCTCTGGCCTGGCCCCCGCTGGTCACTGGCTGGCTGGCTGGCTGCATTAGCCCTTTCCCTTCCCTCTCTCTATGGTCCCCATGTTTCTCTTCATCGTGCCTTGGCGGCTCCGGGGCATGTCTCCAGACAAGTCTCCAGAATGTCCTGTGAGGCCCACCGGGCTTGCCCATGGCACCCAGCCACTCCGGCTGGAAGGGGCCCCTCTCCCTGGGTCTTTCCTGCTGGCCACAGGGTGAGGACCGTCACAGGCTGTGCCACACTCACCAATGCAGTTCATGTTGCGCAGCCCACTAAACACGCCCTTTGGCACCTTGCGGATGCGGTTGTCATGGATTCGGAGCTCCACTAGGGAGCTGGGCAGGTTGGGAGGGATCTCCACCAGGTGGTTCTTGGAGATATAGAGCTTCTGCAGCTTCCGCAGGGGGCTGAAGGCCTTCTCGTGGATCTTGGAGATCTTGTTGTTCACCAGGACGAGAGCCTGGGGCAGGGGGGCGTGGGAAGTGAAGGCACAACCTCCCTCCCCCCCCTCTGCCCTCACCTCTTCCTCCCTCCCTTGCCGCTCGAGCTGGAGCTGGTGATCAGTGGGGCCACCAGTGAGGCCTCGGGGCTGAGCGATTCTGTCCTGTGCTTATGGCTGCTGACATCCACACATGTGACCTGTGACCTGGGGCACTCCCAGCAAGCCCACCTCCAGACTTCTCGCCCCCAGGACTCCATGGGTCCCTAGTCCCCTCATGCCTGACACGTGTGTGTACACACCCATGAACACCCAACTCCTTAGCTGCAGACTGCCCACCTCCTCGAAGACCCCCAAAGGGCCAGGGCAGGCTTACGTAAAGGTGCTGGAGGCCTTTGAAGTCATCCTTGCGGAGCTCGGAGATGTCGTTGTTCTGCAGGTCCAGCAGCGTCGTGTCGGGGGAGATCTCCTTGGGCACAGACTTCAGACCTGGGGGCCGGTGCCGCCGTCACCAGCATGAGCCATAGCCACAGCCCCAGAGTGCCTCAGAGCGCAGGGCCACAGGCGCACAGACACCCACACAAGGCCAAGGCCCTTCTCACCCCGCCCCCCACTCTCTCACAAGCAAACAACTGGACACCGTTCCACGCTGAAAGCAGGAGTCCCGGAGCCTGTGTGGGTCACCCCATCCCTGACCCCACCCTTTCATGCCCATCCCACAGGACAGACACGTGTCTCCTTGGTAGGGCACTGAGGCTGGGCCTGCGCCTTCATGCACCCATCCCACCCCGGGCCCGGGACTGACCCAGGTCGGAGCACTGAACAACCCGCAGGTGGCAGTGGCAGCCAAAAGGACACATGGCGCTGAAGGTGGGCGTGAGGGAGTCCAGGTCCGGGACACCTGAGGTCGTCTCAGCACCTGAAGCCTCCTCATCGTTCAGCATGGGCAGCCCGTCGTCCAGGGTGAAGTCCCAGAAGCCCTTCTGCTCAAACGGCAGGGCATGGCTCAGGGCCAGCAGGGATGCGAGGAGCCACAGGGGCCACATGGTGGGCATGCCTGGGAGGCCAGGGCGAGGAGGGGCTGTCAGGAGGGCCCAGCCAGCACTGGCCCCTGCCCTCTGGGCCCTTTCCTGGCCAACCTCCGGATACCAGCGACTGAGCTTCTGCATGTGTTGGCACCGCGTTTGTCATCCCTCACTGCAGACAGCCAGACCCCAGGGTGGGAGTGGCAGGGAAGGGGGCAGCAGAGGGAGGGGTTGCGGGCAGGTAGGAGGCACCTCCTTCTGCTCTCCTCTGATTCCAGGCAGGGCTGCGGCTTTAAATGGGCAGTGCCTGGCCTTCCCAGTGAGCGAGTGTGCTGCACTAGCCCCTCCCCCGCCGTCTTCCACACACCACTGAGTCAGCTGGCAGCCTGCCCAGGGTGCGGGGGTTCGGTGAGGCTACTGGACAGAGTGGAGGAGGCAGAGAGGGAAGGGCAACCATTTGCCCCCTACAGGCTTTGAAGAATTTGGATTTGAATCTACTACTGTGGCCAGGGCCTACCCCACATGCTCAGGGCAATGTGGGCGCAGTCGGGATTGAGTTAGACCACCGTGAGTCACTTCCTCTCCTGCCTCAGCTCCCCCTCGCAGCACACCCACATTTTTCAAAGAAAGTCAGGAGGCCAAGACGCCAGGCTGGGCACGCTGAGCTGACACCTGGGCTAGCCCCGGAGGCCATGTGGAGAAAGAGAGGAGTGTCCTCCCTGGCGGTGGTGAAATAGCTGAGGTGGAGGCGGGGCGGCCCCCGCCCCCTGCATTGTTCCCCGGGGCCCCAGCACCCTCCCCTGGCCCCCAAGAATTCCCCTGGCTTGGCCTGCAGAGCCCCAGGGCTCCCGCATCTGCTCCTGCCTTCCTTCTGCCTGTGGCCCAGCCCCCTGGAGAGGCCACCAGAGGGGAGCACGCTGCCGCCGGGGTGGCAGGCAGGATCAGGCTTGTCTGAAGGCTCCCCCAGGCCAGGCAGCGGGGTGGGCGTGAGGGGGAAGCTGCCCTCTGCCCGAACCTGCCCCGGGTGCCCATATTTACCTACCTCCTTCCCTCTCCCATCTAGAAGCTCCTGTACAGGAGAAGGCCGGAGCCCCTGCCTCTCCCACCACCCTCACCAATTCCGATTTCCCAGGAATGTCCCAGCCAGGCTCACTGCCCCCATTTGTTAAACAGGCATAAGTGCTTCCCTCGCAGGCTCTGGTGTCTGGGGTTGCCCTGGGCGCATCTGTGGGCAGTGAGCCTGGCTGGGTTCCAGGGGCTTCCTGTAGACCCACATTGGGCCCCACCCCAGCGAGACCCTCCTCACTTCGGGCCCCTTTTGGATGGGGGAGGGGCTGTTAGGGGCTTCAGTGGGTCTGGGTGACCCCTGAGCCTCACTGTTGGCTGCAAATGTGGGAGGAGCCCTTGGGGAGTGGAGGGCTCCGCATACTCTAGGCCAGCACCTGAGTGGCGTGGCCCTGGCTGCCCCTTCCCTGGGCAAGCCGGGCCGGCGTGGGGCTGGGCTGGCGGCTGCAGGCCACCCATGGACTCCTCCCACCAGTGGGCCAGGGGCCACCTCCAGGTCTGGCCACAGCTGCTCTATGTCCCAGGTTTCTATTGACCCCCGTCTCGCCACCCTCTTCCACACTCCTCAGGCAACCCCCAAGTGGGTCGTAGAGTGTGCCTTGGCTCCCACCATCCCCGAGGACAGAGTGGGAGACAATGGCACCACCTTTCTGGCAGCCAGGGCTGCAGTGTGCTTGCAGGCACAGGTCACAGACCCAGAACATGGTTCAGGGCACTCAGCCCGACAGTCAGCCCTGGAGCACCCGCAGCAGGTCCCCACAGCCCTCCTGAGTGCCTGGTCCCCAGCGACAAGCTCAGAGAAGCTGCTTGCCTGTCCCAGGTCACACAGCAGAGTGACGGTCCCCCATGTTGGGGGAGCACCCAGTCCCCCTGGCTCCTTTGAGCCTCAACATCCCACGATCACACCCCAGGTCCTGCTAGCCCAGGCTGGCCGAGCAGGACCCAGGGGAGCCCCCGGAAGGTCACGGAGCTGAGTCGGGAGAAGGCCCTGTGCTTGCCTACCTGGACAGTGTGTCCCGCCTTCTTGCCCTGATTCTGCAGTCTCCGGGACAGAGCAGGGCAGGCCAAGGCCTCGAGTGCCTGCTGCCGCTGCGGGGGGCCCTTGCCCGAGAGCCAGTGGATGCCCGGGGCTGGGAGGAGGGGGAGTGGTAGGAGAGAACAGGAAGGGGAGGATGGAGGCAGGAGAGCAGGATGGAATGGGAGAGAGGGAGGAGACGGCTCCCCTCTTGCCTGGCACCCCTGCCAAAGCCGCTACCTCACAGGGGGGATGAGTCAGGGTTGGAACGCCCAGTGGGAGCCTTGGAAGGTTTGGGATCCACAGTCCACCGGGACAGGTGGGGGTGGTTGGGGTGGTGTGGCCAGGTCCAGGGGAGGCTGCGGGGCGAAGTGGGCAAAAACAGGCCTCTTCTCGCCTGCTGGGGCTGAGAAGGGCTGGGGGGTCTCCACAGGGAGCCTCTGTCCCCGTGGCTGCCTCCATCCAGGGTAGAGGATGGGCAGGCACTGGGAAGGCCCACCGGGGTGGGACTGACCACCCCGGCTCCGAGTGGGCTCATGGGACCTATCCTGGGGGAATGGGGGCTCTAGAGGAGATAAATCAGCTCAAACCAGCCGTGCTTGACGTGGCAGCATCTGGGGGCCACAGAGAGGCTGAGGGAGGGGCCCTTGGCTCCGGCGCAGGCTCACTCCTGGGGGGAGGGGCTGAGGCCAAGGGTTTGGAGGTCCTACAGCAGGGCTCTGTGACAGACGCCGAGAACGAGGCTTGGCCGGTTCTCCCCCACCCACCCTTGGCCGGGCCCAGGCAATGGACAGGCTGGCAGGGTGGGGGCTGGGCAGGCTTCCCAGCAGAGCCTCATTTCCACTCTGGGAGCTGGCATGAGACTCAGTGGGTAGAACTGCATGGGGAGGAGGGGGCTGGCCGGACAATGAACCCGGGGGGGGGTGTCCCCAAGGACTTCAGGGAGAGCCTCGAGTGCCATCAAAGTGTGCTTGGAGCTCACCAGACCCCACCCCTCAGGGCAAAGGAAAGAGATGGTAATGGTGGTGAGGCCTCCAGCCCAGTGCCCACAGGTGTGAGCAAGGGAAAAGGCTGGGCTTCCTGGAGCCTGTGCGGCCAAACCAATAGGGCCTTCCTTGTCTAGCCCTCTGAAAGCCAGCGCAGTCCTCGGAGTGGGATTGCTCCAGGTCAGTGCCAAACAAGACGCATTGGCAGTCTCTGAGAACATGGAGGGGCCGTGCCAGGCATTCAGGCCAGGCCAAGGGCGGCGGGAGCAGGACTTAAGGTCTGGCATGCCCTGTGAGCTTGCTCGCAGATGTGTGGCCCGCGGCTGCCAAGTCGTAGACGCCGGGCACTGTCCCGAGGCCTCAGCCCAGGGTGTCTGGCCCCACCGAGCAACCCGACCTGAACTCCGGCATTCGTGCCACCGTCTCCGTGGCCCTGCCCCATCCCTAGGACTACGTGGATGCGGAGGGCTGAGACGGAGACAGGCTGCACAAGGTACCCTTTCGCCCCGCCCCGCTCTGTCCACCAAAGTCCTCAGGGCCTGGTTTCAACCAACAGGCCAGGGGCAGGGGCACTGTCCAGAGCTGTATCGCACAGGTGGGCGTGGTGCCCAGGCTGACACCCAGATACCCCTCACTGCCCTCCCAGGATCCGGCCTGTCACCCCCCGACAGCATCTAATCTACACTTGGGTGCCAACCATGGGTCTGCCGCAGCCTGCACGTGCGCACGTGTGTGGGGGTGACCACACGTGTGAGCGGCTGGTAGCTGGAGTGGGGAGGAGTGGGTCCTGAGCCCTACCCCACCTACGTCTGTACCCCACCCCATTTGTGGCTGTGCCAGGGCCACCTTGAGCCCTCGCTATTGCCCCCGCATGCCCTCTAGCTATAGGGCAAGCAGCTCCTTCCTGCCATGGCCCCAGCACTGCCGATGGAACTGGACAGACCTGGGTCCTGTGCCCTGTCAGCCTTCAGGTACAGATTCGACCTGGATGTGGGGGTCAGAGGCCCCAAGAAGCCAGCAGGGAGCCAGCCCAGTGGCTGCGGAGCGCTGCTACCACGGAGGTGGTAGGGTGGCTGGTGCTGGCTAGGCTGGACCTCTCTGCCACAGCATTCGGGAGAGCCATCCACCCCTCCCCCACCCTGCCAGGAAACCTCTGGAAAACGGGAGGGTCAAGCTGCTGGCCAGGAGTCAGGCAGCAGATGACCCAGGCCAGCTGGGTATCCCGAGTTTCCTGGCCTTTTCACACCTGAGCTGTGTGTCCTTCCTCCTTCTTCCACTCACAAGGAGTCCTGATCCCCTCCTCACCACATTCTAGAACCTTTGAGGAAGAGGGAGGATGCTATTACCTCCCAGGGGCAGGGTAGGGGACTCACATTATTTCTTAACATAGTCCTCCCAATGGCCAAAAGAAGAAAGCACTGTTTTTACCACTTGAATAGGTAAACTGAGGCTCAGAGTTTGCCCCAAACTCTTGCCCAAGGCTACGCAGTAAGGAAATGGTAGAGCTGGGACTCTACTATCTGTCTGTCTGTCTGTCTGTCTACCTGCCCCTGTGTCTGGCCCCGCTCTTGGTCATTGCAGACTTTGCCACAGGTCCCAAAGCCACAAGACTCTATACTCCCCGTGCTGTGGGGGGAGCTGGACCAGCCTCTGGGGCCCTGGAAAAGATTCCTTGTCAGCTCCCTCACCTGAGCTGGGAGGTGATGCTGTTGGAAAGCCAGGCTCTGCTCTGTGGGTCCTTTGCCCCCTTGCTAGCATCAGGAATACTCTGGCAATATGATGCCGCTCTCTGACCGCCACTATCAGTAGCTCCCACTGTCTGTGGGGCCATGCGCCTCCTCCTTGGCCCCAACACCCCACGAGGCCTATCACAACCTTGCTGTTTCTGCTGGCTTCAGGCCTACAGGGATGTCCCATGGAAAAAGCATCAAGCCCCTTGGCCGCCAGGCCAGGGAGCTTCCCGGAGCATTTTAGGTCCTAGCAGGCACCAGACGCCACGGGGAGATGTTCTCAGCCTGGCTCCCAGAGCATGGCGCCTCACCTGCCTTGCTCCCTGGCTGAGTCAGGCCCTTTCCTTCCTGGGCCCAGGGTTTCCTGCATCCCCTTTCCTGCATTGGGTTCCCTGCTCTCTGCCAGGGGCTCTGTCCCCGGCAGCCCCTCCCAGGGCTCCCCCAGTGCAGGCCTCCCTGCAGCCAGGCGGCCTCTAAGGTCCTGGTGGACCATAATCAAGGGCAGGCAGGGACTCAGACTACATGAAGATGAAAGTCACATTTGCCTTTAGTCTCCTGTGACAAGGCCACCAGAAGCAGCCTTTCTCTGCCCTCTGCCCCTCTCCTTGAAGTCGCACGTCTGTTCCTCAAATTCCCAATCCTGCGGCCACACGGGCCTCTGACTGCCGTGTCTGCCTTGGCCATCTGACCCTCAAGGGGCAGGTGGTGGGAGAGAAACCGGGGTGAGCTTAGAGTCACACGGAGTCCTGCAGGTCAGCCCCAGGCTGGTGTTTGCAGACTTTGGCTTTCCGATGCCATGGACTGAGAGAGCTGGGTGCAAGGAAGGTTGGTAAGACCCCCGCCCCTTAAAACTGAGAGATGTGTTACCACAGGGAGGAGGCAGGTGAGTCATCCCAGTGATGCTGCAAGCCGCCGTGGGAGCTGAGGCTCGTGGGCCCCAGGGGAGAAGGCCTCCTCCGCAGCCGCCCCACCAACTGCCCCAACCCAGAGCAGAGAGGGGGAGGGGGAGCCAAATGGGGTGGGTCTCAGGCAGCTTCCAGGAGCCTGGAGTCCCAGAGGGAGTGGAGGAGGCCCCGGGGGACCCTTGGGCTGCGGCCTCCATGTGAGAGGGATGGATCACAGCCACCCACCCCCTAGACGAAGTGGCCATGAAGGCCCCACCCCCACCCCAGGGGCCACTGGGAAATCGGCTCTGGAAGACGGAAGGGCCTGACCACGGGGCTGGCCAGTTAGCCTTAATGGGCCTCAGGCCCGGGAACGGGGACAGGACTGAGCAGACACCCGCTTCCCCATTCTCCCAGTGCAGCCCCCTCTGCCTGCCGCCTACTGGCTCCTCTAAGGTGGGATTTACGGAAGGAAGGCGTTCTGTGGGTGATCAAGGTGTGAGGCCCGGGGTCTCAGCGGAAGACGACAGGAGGGAGGGGAGGGGCACCGACTGCCCTAGGTGCCAGCTGACAGGAGGAGCCAGAACTGCCAGGACCCTGGCTTCGGCGGGAGCCTTTGCTTACCCTCCTCCCCCACTGCATGGCTCATAGGAGGGCGCCCTGGGAGAGCCACCATCATCCCCAGCCCCTCGGTTTGAGCCGAGCCCTTGTGCCGGTGTGTCCCCTCCCACCCGTGGGGCCAACAGGTGTGGAAGGAGAGAGCTCTGGACAGAGATCAAGCTCTGTCACACTGGGGTGACAGATGAGGAGGGTGAAGTTGGGGAGGGTGTTTTGGGTGGGGGTGAGAAGACCTCTCGTACAATGAGGGGTGTTGGAAGGTGAGTAAGGAAGGTGAGGGAAGGGCCCTAGGGTCATGCAGGACAAATGACCCAGTGGCTCAGCAGATGAGGCCCTGGGGCTGTGGCTGGGACTATCTGCGGGGGGGGGGGGCAGGCGAGGGGGCCCAGTGGTTGTGCCTGGGCCATTGCCTGTGCCTGTGTGCCCCAGGAAAACCCTGTGAGACCTCACTCTCTCATGCCACGGCAGTGTCCCCAGGCAGCTGAGGACAAGTGACTTCTGGAACAGTGCAGACCGCGCAGTGTTTGCGGGGCTTCTCCAGGGAGGGGAAGAGGGACGCCGTCCAGGAAGCAGGGGGTGCTGAGAGATGGGAGGCCCTGTTGGAAAGCTCTGGCTCCTTTTGGGGACTTGGCATGGCAGGGGAAGGGATGCTCTGGGGTCTTTTAAACAACCCCTTTCCTCCTACCCTTCTTCGTTTATGCTCCTCCAATGGGCCAAGGCCACTGGTAGGAATGGGGAGAAATTTGGTCACAGGGGCCGGCATGCCAGGTTTCTGGGCCTCTGAGATAAGCCGGCACGGAGCTGCCGCCAGCCCGTCAGTGCAAAAGCTGGGCTTCAGGCTCCCCATGTACAAAACGGGGACTCCGGTCCCTGTCTCAGGGCAGGGCACAAAAGCGGTGGGATGGTTAATGCTCACTGTGACCTGGGTCCTTGGGGCTTAAAGGCGGGCCTCTGACCGGGTAGGTGGGCCAGGCCCCCCGGGGCACCACTCGGCAGGCAGCAGCTCCTCAGCTCCCAGTCTGCTCTCACTGTCCGACGCGGTACCGTCCTTTCGACACCCCCACAGTCTGGCCCTCAAAGGCTACCCATGTTGTCCCATGGGCCAGACATGGGCAGCTTGCACACGAAGGCGCCTGTGCCCAGGCACCCACTCTCTCAGGGCAGCTGCAGGTCGCCAGGAGGCGCTCACGTGCATGTTCGCAGCTGAGCCTCTGCGCTCTCGCTCCCCGCCGACCTTTGCCCCTGGCTGCAGATCCCCAGGAACCTTCCTTCTTGGCATGGAGGGAGGCCCAAGCATCATTCGCCTGTCTCAGTGTCAATCAGTCCCTGCAGGGTGGGGATTTGGCAGGCCAGGCAGTGGGGGAGGGCACATGCAGGGGCACGCAGAGGAGAGGACTGGCCATATGGGCGGCCAGAGAGGCCCTTAGCAAACACTGTTCCAGAACAGTCTCCCTGGCCTGAGCGAGGGCTACCCTACTGGCTCCAACCCACAACCCTGGCATGGAGTACTCTGGGTCTCATGGTCCACTCAGCAGAACCATCCAGTGCCCGGGCCCCACGCACACCCACGGAGCAGTGAGGGTGGTACTCCCATCCCCCAACCTTCCAGGACACTCGGTGGCACATGCAGAGAGCTCCATTCTCCTTTGCTCTTCTTTTGGGTCACTCGGCAGGCCCCTCAGCATGCCAGCTATCTTGGGAGCTTGCAGGACAGGGGCCAGTGGCCCTGTCGTCTCCGACTCTAATCCCCAGGTGGTGCAGTTGGCCACAGGCCGTCATTATCAATGCCCAAGTGACTTCGAGGCTTCCCTGGGTGGAATGGGTTCAATAACCAGGGTTCGTCAGTCAGGAGCCCTGTGTCCTGGCCCCAGCTTTGCACCTGACTTGCTGTGCAATTGTGGGCAGGTTCCTGCCTGTCTCTGGGATTCAGTTGCGCCCGTTGTACAATGGGTGGAGTGGGAGTGAGACCCGCAGGGACCACTCAGCCCCTCCCAAAGAACTTTGGGGGGCAACGTTGCACTGCGTTTTTGCTTCTGACCTGAGGCTCTCTCTCCATTCCAGGGTTGCCCCATGTACTATTGGGGAGGAGGGTCACTTTTGGGGGACAGGGCAGGTAGTCAGACAGCTCTTGAACCTCACTGCTCCTTAAAAGCACCCGTCCTGGGAAGCACCTGGGGGGCTCGGTCGATTAAGCGTCCAACTTGATTTCGGCTCAGGTCATGATCTCCCGGTTCGTGGCTTTGAGCCCCACGTCAGGCTCCACGGTAATGGTGTAGAGCCTGCTTGGGAGTCAGTGTCTCCCTCTCTCTCTGCCCCTCCCCTGCTCGTGCTATCTCTCCCAATAAGTAAATAAAACATTTTTTTAAAAAAGGCACCCATCCTGGGACAGTGGTGTCCTAGTTTGGAAGTGGGCCTGTGGCCTCACTTCTCCCCAGGGTCCCCAGAAGCCGTGCGAGGCCCCAAGCCAGGCCTGCTCAGGGTAACACAGGCACAGTTGCCTGAGTTTCTCTCTGCCCACAACCCCCGTTCTGAGTCTCAATCCAAGGGGGTTCTGGGGACAGGCGGAACCGAGCCACCCAGGCAGTCCCACCCAGAGCCCCCGTGGCCAGGGCCCTGTGGACCCACGCCTCAGTCAGGAGGAGACAGAGGAGAGGAACTAGCCTGCGGATAGGGGAGAAATATCCGGGCAGGCTGCCTGGGGTGTGCCTGGGAGACCAAGTCTCTGAGCCCACACCGGGGACTGGTCCTGGGCAGCGGGGACTGCTCCCCAGCTCTGAGCCCTCCCACCCCTGTCCCCAGCGAGGAGGCACCAGTGCAGAGGGACTCACAGTGAAGAGAGCCGCTGGCAGAGCTGGGATGCAAGCCACCCCGCCGTGCCTTGAACGATGCTCTGTGGGCAGTCAAGGGGAAGAACCGGGCAGGGAGACAGGGAGGGCAGATGCGGAGTGGAGCTGAGGGACGTCGGAGGGGAGAGGAAACGGAGGGGGGGGAGAACATGCAGACAGGGACAAGAGCTAAGGGGGCCACACGGTGGCGACGAAGGGGTGCGGCCAGGAGTCGCTGGGAGTCCGGGGATCACGGGCACCCTGGGAGTGGGAGAGGGGGGTAAGGGGGCAGCAAGGACAAGGGTGGGGATGTGGATGGGGGGGCGGGGAGCACTTGGAGGATGGTGAGGGCACAGTGGAACCAGGGATGAGACCAGGAGGGCAGCTCAAGGCCAGCGTGGGGACAGTGGAGACAGTGTGGGGCTGGCGTGGGGGCCCTACCTGGGAAGGGCAAGCAGCCGGGCACAGGCTGGCTAGTTGGCAGGCTTGGGTGTCAGGCAGTCAGTGTGTCTGTCCGTCTCCGTCGGGCCCTCCGAGAGCAGCTGCTCACTCCTGGGCAGTTTGTCGAGAGAGGGAGACAGAGGCGGTGGGAGGGAGGCTAAAGGCTGGGCGGGCTGGCCGACAGGGAGGGGACGGCGGGAGGGGGCGGGGAGGGAGGAAAGGAGGGAGGGGGCTGGTGGGGCGGAGAGGGAAGGAGGGAGGGAGGGAAGAAGGGAGGGAGGGGACAGGCCTCCCGGCCCCCCTGGAAGCTTCAAAGGGAGCAATTTTCTTGTAGACGGCTGGGCTAGCTGCACCCCCTCCCCCTCGCAACCCCCCCACCCCCGCCCCGGGCGCATGGGAAAGGGACGCACTCCCACTCACACAAGGACCCTTGGTGTCTCTGGGCAGGCCCAGCCTTAGAGAGTCAAACTTTCCACTGCTCAGATAGGGACACTGAGGCCCAGAGAGGGGCGGGAACTGGCTTGCTGGCACTTGCAGGCAGAGGAAGGCGAGAGGGCAGAAAGCGAAGGGAGACAGCGGGGAGGGGCCTCCGGTTGCTAGTCCAGCGAGTGGCCCCTGGAATTTTGTCCTGAGCCCGCCCAGAACCTCGGGCAGCCTGGGCCTGAACAAGGACATGGTTCTCTGCAATCAGGGAGGCAGCTGCTGTGGATTTGTGGAAGGGCCTGATGCAGGCTCCCGGGTGCTCTGGACATCCCAGCCCCTCACCCCACTGCAGTCCTTTTTCCCTGAAAAGCAGGACTGGTCCTGTCTGTGTGATCTCAAGATGGGACTCGGCTGGGGACTGACAGGAAGGCATCACAGGCTCCGGGGGTCTTCCCTAGCTTTCCCGCCCTGAGCCTCAGACATGCTGAGAGTAGAAAAGTGAGTCATCTTTCTTTGCTCAATCCGTGCGGTCCCCTACAATGCAATGAATGCTCTGTGGGTGGGCACTTCCTCCAGGGTGAGCCCTGTGTTGGCCATTTACAGGGGCGAAGTGGGCCAGCCTGCCAGGCGTCCCAGGAAGAGGTCGTCATCAGCCACAACCCCACGTGATCACTGAGAGCTCAGCTGCTTCCTGAGGGCCGGGACGAGCCCAGCTCCGCCTGTGTGTAGAGCCTAGGGCCTGAGCGTCCGGGGGGGGGGGGGGGGGGGGGGGGGGGGCGGGTCCCATTCCTCCCCTGGCCTGTTGGACCCAGTGTGCCCAGGCCAGAGCCTGAGGAAGACTCCTGCAGGCGCTGCTCCCGGGAGACAAAAGTGAGGGTTTAGATGGAGCTAGAAACCGCGGTGGGGAGCAACGCTGGTCTGCAAAGGAAACCGAGAGGGAGGAAGCTAAAGGCAGGCCACAAGAAGGGACACAATGCCCCACAGATCAGGAGAAAACTGCTTAGAGAGAGGACAAGCCGGACGGAGGCTGCGGGACGCCAGGAAGAGGTTCGTCCAAGGAGAATGGGGAGGAGGTCTGAGGGTCCTGCCTTCCTGCCCAACTGTCTGGGGCCACATGTAGGTGGGATCTAGAAGGTTCTGCCTGGGGGTGTGGCTGGGCCCAGACTTCCTTCCGTGTGCGCTAGCCTGAGTGCAGAGTCCCCAGTCAGGGACCTGAGACACACAGTGGCCTGAGCAGGCTGTGGTGCCCGCCTACAAGAAGCTTCCAGGCTGGGCCATGGAGAAGAGAGACGTGGGACAAACAGGGTCTGGGCTGGGAGCTCTGGCTCCCTCTTGTTCTCGTGGGCGAGGCGGCTGCAAATACTTGGGACCCGGAGACTGGAGAGAGCACATGCCCTAGACAAGGCGAGTCCATTGTCTCCTTGGTTGTTTTTTCCTGTTCATGGGAGACATACTCAAACATCTCTGGCAGTGGAGAGACTATATCATAAAAGATAGCCTCACTCAGCTGCGGCATCCCTAGTCATGGCTGCATGGGAGTAGAAACGTGCCCACAACATGTCTAACACTGTGCTCTGTGAAAGAAGCCAGTCACAAAGGACCACATATTGTACAATTCCACATGAAACATCCAGAATAGGCAAATCTATAGGGTCGGAGAGTCCATTAGAGGTTTCTTGGGGCCCCAGGGGAAAACAGGGGTATACAGAGCCACAGCCAAAGGTGTCAGTTTTCTTTTACAGGGGATGAGAATTTTCTAAAGTTGACTGTAGCGAGGTTGCACACTGAATATACTAAAAATCATTTAACTGTACATTTTAAATAGGTGAATTTTATGGTATGTGACTTATATCTTAATAAAGATGTTTTTTTAAAATGAAAAAAGAAAAAGCCATGTAAGACATGCCCATTGTCCCAGGAGCCTTTAGCTGCATCCAAGGCCCTGCCCGGGCTGGTCCCCGGGCAGCCCTCCACTGCACCCTGCCCTGCTCTGGGGGCTGGTCCCCAGGAGCCATCACTCAGGTCCTCAGCCTCCGGGAGTCCCAGTGGGAACGAAAAGAGCCCCGAATACAGTGGCCCAAGCTGTGCTGGGGAAAGGCCACTCTGGGGGCTCCAGGACTGGGCTCTGAACTCTGTGGCGGAGGGGACAGGGACACTCTTGTTTCTTGCCTCCCCAGAGCCACACGCAGCGCCACAGGCTCAGAAACCCCTCCTGGAGGAGGTGACTTGGAGTAGGCAAGATAAAGAGGAGTGAAGAGAAACACTGGCAGTGGAAGGAATAGCACATACCAAGGTGCAGAGGGTGTGGGGAGCAGGGCGGAGTCTCAGTGTCCCCTGCACAGTGCGCACCCTCGGGTGTCAGCCAGGCACGTTCCTGGCGGGAGCTTGGGGGTGACCTGAGCCGCCAGCCCTGTGCACAGTGCACATCGTGCAGCCCTCTCCTGCACTTGGGGGATGCATCTGGGGCAATATTTCTGTAAATACGGTTCCTGCGCCTGGAAGGCTCTTGTGTCTGTGGTTTGCAGTCTGCAATAAGGCATAACTGCACGCCCGGCCCAAGGCCCACTGAGTCACTCGGCCGGCTTGGCCCTCTAATTTGGGGGCCACTCCCAGACCAGCCAGGCAGCACCTCAGTCCTGCGCCTCCCCCTTCCCCTCCCTCTCCCCAGGCCTCGACTTTCCCTGAAGCACAGGAACAGCTTTGACCCCAGCTGAAGCTGTGCCGGGGACAGTGAGTCCTCGCTGGAGAGCAGCAGCCAGTGGCCTCCTGCCCTCTGGCCTCCCAGTGCTGGGAGGAGGCAGCAGGAGGCAGGGGAGGGCAAGCATGGAGGGCAAGGCGGGAAGGAAGAGCAGGCATTTCCTGAGGCCCCCAGGCTCTGAAGGAGGCCAATGCACAGCTGTCTTAGCTCCACAAGAACACGTGGTGGACAGAGCAGGCCGAGTCATGGGGGCCACGGGGGGTGTAGGAGGCAGACCCTGGCCCCCAACAGCGTGAACCCATGGATGACGAGGGTCCTGTCCCAGCATGCCCCGGACCTCTGGGATCCCAGCAGACAGGCCCCCAAGAGCCCTAGCCCAGACACTTTTCCCAAATGGCTGTGGAGCGCTGGCTGACCCTGCGCTTCAGACGTACTGCTGGGTCCCTGCTCAGAGCAGCGAGCCTTCATCTAGCTGTCCCCACCCACTCTCCAGTTCCCGGCCTGGAGCCCTTGGGTGCAGGGAACGTGCTTGAAGGTAGCAGGGCAGGGGTAGCAGTGGGAGAGAGGAGGACTGGCAAGGGCAGGGGTGCTAAGGTGAGAGCATGTGTAGGCTGAAGGCAGCGGAGGAGAAGGCCGGGCCGGTACGCAGCTGTGGGGGGCTCCTTGGGGTGGGGGGGCAGTGCAAGCCCACTGCCATCCTGTAGGGCTGTGTGCGAAGGACCTGGAGTCGGCGGCAGCCCATCCCCTAACAGCTGGCCTGCAGCTGTTTGTGCCCTGCCTTCAAAGTTAGAGAGGGAGGCCCAGGAAAGAAGCGAGGCACAGAGCAGGCAAGCTTCGAGCCGCCTCTCCCCTTTGGGCACAAAACCCTGCCTCTGGGAGGGCTCCTTGGAAGGCAGAGTCGGGGCCCTTGGAGCCGGCCCAGCAGGTGGGGCTCCCAGGGGCTTGAAAGGGGCCCTAGCAAGGTGACGGCAGCTGAGGGAGCTCCTCCTGAGCTCCAGCCCACCCAGCTGCTGGCCGCAGGAGCCTCTGGGGCCTGGAAGGAACAGCATGGCCCTGAGCTCCAGGAGTCCTCTGCCAGCCCCCCTCTGGGGCATTCCTGGCCTCCCTGCCCTGCAGGGTTTGCTTGGGCCCCTGCTCATCTCTCCCTGTCTCTCCACATCACTCCCTTGTCTGTTCTTCCTGGCTCCTCACTCTTTCCTTAGATCTCCTGTCTGTCTCTCTTTCCCTTCCCTGGGCACCGAGTCAGTCAGGTAGCCTCACTGTTCTCCGCCCCCCAGAGCGCACGTGCTGCTGGACCAGAAGCAAGGATGTGTTCAGAAAAGCGTGATGGTGACCAACTATGACGAGAGCTACAAAGGAAATAGCACAGGCCCAGGTGCTAGCACAGGATGGGGGTGCAGAGAGGGCTTCCTGGGAGGAGGCGGCTCTCCAGAAGCACCCAAGACTACCTTTCAGCCCTTCCCTGGAGTGCCCACACAGGACCCTTGCAAAGCCAGCCCGAAGCAAGTGCTCTCATCCAAGGGAGCCCCCTGATACCCTTGCCTTCGGGACAAATGCCCAGGCAGGGATGTATCACACACGCATATCAAGGTCACTTTTTGAGCAAGTGACCCTGCCCAGGATTCAGCCGAGATCTCAGAGAGGGCCCTCGAGGCTCCTGGGCAGTGCAGGCCCTGAAGGCAAGCCAGCATCTCCAAGTTCACAGCCCTGCATGTGAGTGTTGCTCGCAGCCTGCTGGCTTCATCCAGTCCCAGTCTCCACACCCTCAGTGGCTGGGCAGGGACAGGGTGAGAGCCAGGCCCGTAGTCCCCAGGGGGCAGCCCCTCGCACCTTGAGGGTCCCTAGAGGCTAGAGTTGTAACATTCTGGAGCCCTGAGGTGCCATGCCTAACTGTGCTCAGGGGGACCCTCTGGGTGTAGGGGGCTGGGAACCGTTCCGGATGAGGCTCATGTTAAACAGGCCCAAGAGGGAGCTGAGCTGCCATGGATGGGCCGAGCCTCCACTATCTGGAAGCTTCCC